CCCCTCAGTAGTCACACCAAATGCAGAGAGACCAAATGATAGGATGGTGGACCCACCCTCTCAGTGGTCACACCAAATACAGAGGGAACAAATGTTAGGATGGTGGACCCGCCCTCTCAGTAGTCACATCACATGCAGCAGGACCAAATGATAGGATGGTGGACCCACACCCTCAGTAGTCACACCAAATACAGAGAGAACAAATGATAGGATGGTGGACCCGCCCTCTCAGTAGTCACACCACATGCAGCAGGACCAAATGATCTGATTGAAAGGAAAATTGTCAAAGTGGATTTTAAAAGGCTGGCTGCTTACAAAAGACACAAAAGTAAAAGAATATAGAAATTTTTTGTGTGTGTGTGAGGAAGATCAGCCCTGAGCTAACATCCATGCCAGTCCTCCTCTTTTTGCTGAGGAAGTCAGGCCCTGAGCTAACATCTATTGCCAATCCTCCTCTTTTCTTTTTTTTTTTCTCTTTTTTTCCCCAAAGCCCCAGTAGATAGTTGTATGTCACAGTTGCACATCCTTCTAGTTGCTGTATGTGGGACGCCGTCTCAGCATGGCCAGACAAGCAGTGCGTCAGTGCGTGCCCGGGATCCGAACCCGGGCTGCCGGTAGTGGAGCACGCACGCTTAACCACTAAGCCACGGGGCCGGCCCCTAGAATATAGAGGGGTTTAATGTGAAAAGATGAACAACGCAAGTCCTGCAGACAGCAACAAAGAGAGCATGCAGCACAGAGATGTGCTTGTGTGGGTCCCATCGAGGTTTTGTTCTGAGATCTTTGGAAGCTGCAGGAAAATTGGAAGTTTCCCTAGATGCACCACCTCATAAGTTTGCTGCATCTGTGCCTGTCTCTGTGCGGGTGTTTGCACACTAGCACACACATGCACACATGTGCACATGCACCCACATGCCCCCGGTTCCCCACTGTCTTGTAGGGAGTCGTCCTGGAGTCCCCTACATGACATTTCCTCTCACACATCATTGGCCAGAACTTTCTGTGTTGCATTAGCCTGCAGTGAAGGCCCAGCGGTGTCTGTTCCCCCAGCAGGAGCTGGACACTCACGGTCTCAGTCTCAAGAGCTGTCTTCACTGTCTAGAACTTTAAACAGGTAAATGGATAACTGGCGGCTCCTCCTCCTCTCTGTTCTTCTCTCTCATCTGGCTGTTTCTTCTCTCTTCCCTTTGTCATCTGAACTTGGAGCTCATGCGCATAGTGGGGTTTGCTCTGTGATGGGGGCTATAGAAAATTCAGAATCCATGTTTTTCCTGCTTATTGCCTTAACGATGGATTTTCTATACATGTGAAAGACACACCTGGGACCTATCAGAGGAGGAAGGCAGACCGTCTGGATGCATGGAAGTCGAAGGCTGGGTCCTGCTGGACGTGGTTCTCGCCACACTGGGGGAGGGTGAAGGTGGGTGCATGTGGGTGTGCGGGCTGCAGAGCACAGAACCCCCATGCTCGTCAGTGTGCATTGTGAGCTCGGGCCTCTGTGCTAAGAACGGTTTTTTTCCTTTAATTTGAATTCCTTTTTTTTTTGTTTGTTTGACCAAATGGATGTTTATACAAAGTTGCCAAAGTTTAATATTCCTTAAATGTAACAGATAGGGGCCAGCCGGACGTAGTAGCAGTTAAGTGCGTGTGCTCCACTTTGGTGGCTCCGGGGTTTGCAGGTTCAGATCCCGGGCGAGCACTGACGCTCCGCTTGGCAAGCCATGCTGCGGCGGCGTCCCATATAAAGTAGAGGAAGATGGGCGTGGATGTTAGCCCAGGGCCAGTCTTCCTCAGCAAAAAGAGGAGGATTGGCAAAGGATGTTAGCTCAAGGCTAATCTTCCTCACAAGAAAAAGAAAAAGTAACAGGGAAACTGAAAAACAGTTTAGCCCTTAGCCTGTGATCTGAATACAGTGCACTGGTTGTTATGGTGACACTATGTGTGGTTTTATTTTTTAAGTACCAGAGGAATAACAGTGTCATTTAAAAATAATAGTTTATGATACTTAAAGAGTGTGACATTGCATACTTATGTCATCTCGTCTGCTCCGTGTCAGGTATAGTCTAGACGAGGAGGCATAAACAAACACAGGATCTGGGGACAGGTGTCCGAGCCTCTGAAGAGTCCCCTCCCTCCTGTAAGCCTTTAGACGGGATGCATTCCTGAGACCCTTCGCAGCCCTGCCGCTGCCCTGCCGCTGCCCTCCCGTGGCTGGAACGCGGTGGTTGCCTCCAGGGATGCCCTCAGGCTGTAGCGGGTGGGTCAGAGAGACAGTGTGGTGTTGGACAGTGACTGGCCCTCTGAGCGGCGACCCCAGTATGGAGCGGGGACCATGAGCACCTGCTTTCTGAGCTAGCAGGTTAAGTTACGTGGCTGCGTCACCGTCCACTACTGTGGCTTTGATGGCTGCAATAAGAGGGGCATCGTGGCTGGCACTGTTTTCGTGTTTGTGGCTTCAGGTGCTGCTCCATCCAGGATGCGGGGGCTGAGGCCCTGGGGAAGGTGGCCCTACTCGCTGGGACCTCTCTTCCAGCCACACTGCCTGGCCCAGCCCAGCCCCACACATCCTGCATGGTGGGTGTCCAAGATACCGAGGTGCCTGGTCCTGCCATCTTGTTAGAGTGCCTTTTCCTGCATGTGCACAGCACGAATCAGGGCTTCCAGAAGGTTCTGTTCAGCGGGCATTGGGGTCCACAAGGGGTTCTGTTGCCTTAGAAACTATCAGGTTTCCCCTCTTTCTGCACCGAGGACACTGAAGTCCAAGGGACGAGGTGACTCATTCATTCCAGGTCCCCGGCAGTCAGCGCAGGCTGTTGTTCATGAATATGGCGAGTGCTCGAGGACTGTTTGCAGCCATGCTCTAATCAGAAGTGAGGCTGGAGCTTGGGGGGCCCATGACTGGGGCCGAGAGTGCAAATTGCTGAGCATTTGACACGGGTACTCCAGCCACCTACACAGGCGTGATGGGCCCCCATCGCGTCATAGCCTTCAGGGGGCCTCTTAGTGATTTCCCACTTTCACCGTGAACTATGGAGACCTGACAGATGTTGCTCTTCAAGGCCAGTCTTTGGGAAGAGGAGCAGGTGTCAGAACACACTGTTGAGGGGCCGGCCCTGTGGCTTGGCGGTTAAGTGCGCGTGCTCCGATATTGGCGGCCTGGGTTCGGATCCCAGGCGCGCACCGACGCACCGCTTGTCCAGCCATGCTGAGGTGGCGTCGCACATACAGCAACTAGAAGGATGTGCACCTGTGACGTACAACTATCTACTGGGGCTTTGGGGAGAAAAGGGGGAAAAAAAAAGAACACACTGTCGTGACAGCAGTGCAAGGTCGGTAGAGCTGAGGCATGGATCGGTAGGACAGTGTGGACCCCAGACTAGGTGGGCACATGTGAGGGAGGTTAAGGTACGAGGGAGTGGATTTAAAATTACTCAGGACAAGAACGATTGTTCAGTATGTGGTACTGACAGCTGGCTCTCCACGTCAGTGCAAAGGAGTGAGGTAGATTCTACACACACATTTCAGGTAAAGATCTGAATTAAAAAGAATTATTGAAGCATTTGAAGAAAAGTAGAACATATTTATAGTGTTGGAATGAAGAGGGGCTGCCTATGTAAGATATAAAAAAGCGGGGCTGGCCCAGTGGCACCGCAGTAAAGTGCGCGCGCTCTGCTGCAGCGTCCTGGGGTTTGCAGGCCCGGATCCCAGGGCGCACCGACGCACCGCTTGTCAAGCCATGCTGTGGCGGCGTCCCACATAAAGTAAATGAAGATGGGCACGGATGTTAGCCCAAGGCCAGTCTTCCTCAGCAAAAAGAGGAGGATTGGCAACAGATGTTAGCTCAGGGCTAATCTTCCTCAAAAAAAAAGAACCTATGAAGGAAAAGATTGGTAAATCCCATTTCGTAGAAATAAAAAACTTTTGTGTAACCAAAATCAACATAAACAAAGTTAAAAAAGCAAAGTGACGTTTAGGGAGAAAATGTTTTTTGCGTATATAACCAGAGGTAAATAGTAAGAGTGTTTAAAGACTTGTGTAAGTCACTACGAAACTCATAAACAGCCCAACAGAAAGTGGACGAAAGGTATGAACAGATAAAGAGGAAGAAACTTAAATGACACCCAAAACTGCCAGCCTGACATTAATCAGGAAAATGCAAACTCAAGTGGTGGTGAGTGCCACCCAGGGATGGCCACTGCTCCTGGTAGGAAGTGACCGGAGGGCATGTGACAGCTTCTGTTAAACCCACACGTGCCTTCACCTGCCGTCCCCACGTTCCGTCCTGGGGCACTTAGACTTGTGCACAAGGGTCCTGGCCGGCTCCAGGATGGGGTCGTGACCTACTGTGTCGTCAGGCTCTTGTGAGAACCAGCACCAGTGCTGCTGCTGCTGGTGACACTGGGCTTGCTTTGCAGCAAGTCGGTCTGTAAGCAGTGCTCTTTAGAAGAAGAAAGAACAGGGCTGGCCCAGTGGCTTAGTGGTTAAGTGTGCGTGCTCCGCTGCTAGTGGCCTGAGTTCGGATCCCGGGCGCGCACCGACGCACCGCTTCTCTGGCCATGCTGAGGCTGCGTCCCACATACAGCAACTAGAAGGATGTGCAGCTATGACATACAACTATCTACTGGGGCTTTGGGGGAAAAAATAAAAAATTAAAAAATTAAAAAAAAAAAAAAAGAAGAAGAAAGAACAGAACAACCAGGTCCCGTTTCTAGTCATGTGCCTGAAAACTCAAACCCAGATGATTGTGTGTATTCACTGCATGTCTCCCTAAATGCAGAGGAAAGATCTGGAAGATGCCCAGGGCTTAACCAATCCCTCTGGGAAGAGCAGTGGAGCAGGAGGCAGCATGGAGATGCCGGCCCTTTTTGCTCTTTTTTGTGAATTGTTTGCATTTCTATTTCATATATTAGGAAGGTGTATTATCCAGATGATTCTGAAAATGTGGATTAATGTGAGAGGACGTTGTGGGACTACTGCTCACGTGCCCTCCTTGTTTGCAGGTATGGATCCTGGCGGGAGCCCGTCAACCCCTACTATGTCAACTCCGGCTACGCCCTCGCCCCAGCCACCAGCGCCAACGACAGTGAGCAGCAGAGCCTGTCCAGCGACGCCGACAGCCTGTCCCTCACCGACAGCAGCGTGTGAGTCCCCCTGCCTGGGCAAGTGCAGCCCCCTTGGAGCATGGCAGCCCGTGCCAGTCCCAGCTGGGGCTTTCTCTTCATAGACAAGGTTTCGTCGTCCTCCCTGCAACTCGGTGTTAGTGCGTCTGATGTAGACAAGCTGCACTGCAGGGAGAGTTGTTGAAGATCCCAGCGCAGGCTAGAACTGAGTTTTGCCTTAGTTGCTTCTCTCCAAGGCCAAGGGTGCTGGAGCCTTTGACAGGGGAAAACCAAGGGGTGAAGTTGAAGCAAAGTCCAGAGCTACTGAGGCTAGAGTGCTTAGGTTCTGATTTTCTCTTTGGTTTTCATTGTCTGGGGGTTCACTTTAAAGCTAGGCGACCAAGTGGGTTGGCTGCCTGCCCAGGAGCTGGTGACACCAGCCCCGTCCCTGAAAGACTGCGTTGCTGTGTGGATATGTTTCTTGTTGATGCTGCTCTGGGCTTGTCACCTTTTTTAATCCAGAAACTGTCATATCAGGTCAGGAGTCCCTGTCATCTACTCAGTGTGGGGGGACAGGGAGACAGGAGCAAGAGGGGAAGTCAGCACAGCTGGTTCCGTGCTGGCTCCAGTGCCCGGATGTTTCAGGGACAGCTCCCAGGGCTGTGTGTCCCCGAGAGGCCTTGGTGACCACATAGAGCCACATTGAGCCGCCACATCCCTTGTTGGGGACAGCGGACCTTATTTTTTCATCATCCTCTCCAGGGAAGCCCTCCCTTTGAGGGAAAGTGCCTGTTTCTGACACCTTCTCCTTGGCATTAGCAGGTGGCTTTTTGGACCCAGGTGCACATTAGAAGTTTGAAAGTGTAGAACGCTCTCTTGTTACATCAGGGCGTTGCCCGTCCAGCCCTTGAGGTCATTTGGGGTCTTGACTGGGCTGCCATGAATATCAGACTTGCCCAGCTTTTGGTCCATACGCCATTTGCTGTCTGACCACCACTGATGGGAAGTTTCTGCCCAGGGCCAAGGCCTGGGCCTGGGGGCTGACCCCTGGGCGCCCTCCATCAGCATTAGGGCAGCAGGAAGCCTTTGGCTGTGATGACGAGCGGGTGTGAGCCTGCCCACAGCCGTCCACCGACGTCTTTTCCCCATGAGACCGGTGGGGGCACAGCCAGGACTCCTAGCTGGTGGGGCAGCAGCTGTCAGCTGGTCACCGGGGACTTCTTCCTCACCCAGCTTGTTTCTTCATGTGAAAAGTTTGGGGAGTCAGACAGGTTTAAATAAGAAAAAAAAAAGGGCTCCTAAACCCGTCTTTTTGTAGGTGAACACATTTTTAAATTGCGGTCCCGCTTTATATACTGTTTTTATAGTTTGTACCTTTCATCTGCTATGTCTTTAAGCGTTCTTCCAATTTAGCATACGAATAGGAGGATCTCACGTGCTGTTCTGAACCAGAGTCAGCCAGCCCCCAGCGCTGTGTTTGTTGGGTTCTTTCTCTTTGCCCCATCAGTGACCACACGGTGGTGACCTCACCAGACCGATCTGTCCCTTAGGTCAAGCTTCTGTGTGGGGTATATCTCATCGATCGTTTCATTCTCCTTTATTTTGAATCTTTAAGATAAAATGTTGACATGTTTCTAGCAACTTCTTGTTTGAAAATACTGGAGTTTCGGGGCCGGCCCCGTGGTGTAGCGATTAAGTGTATGCGCTCTGCTGCTGGCAGCCCAGGTTCGGATCCTGGGCGCGCACTGACGCACCGCTTGTCAGGCCATGCTGTGGCGGCGTCCCACATAAAGTGGAGGAAGATGTGCACGGCTTTAGCCCAGGGCCAGCCTTCCTCAGCAAAACGAGGAGGATTGGCATGGATGTTAGCTCAGCGCTGATCTTCCTCACACACACAAAAAAATACTGTTGTTTCAAACAGTATCTGCCATGAATATAAAGTATTGTGTAAAATGATTGCAGCGCCCCGCAGCCCCACACAGCCCCCTGCAGCCCCACATAGCCCACCACAGCCCCCTGCAGCCCCCACAACCCCCTGCGCCCCCCACAGTCCCCCGCAGCCCACACAGCCCGCCACAGCCCCCACAAGCAGCTGGCAGCACGAGATCATGCATTTGTAGCATCTGGTTTTCCTCTTCCCCAAAACTCTGTTAAAATTAATGTGCCCGTGAAGTTTTCTCGAAGTCTCTTAATGCTCTCCAAGGAAAGGACATATGTTTGCTAAAGGGAGGATCTAAAATTTTAAAAATATCTTTTTTTCCTGATATTCTATTCATCTTGGTTTACACTGAGACTAAGAAATGTAGGACTAGTCAAGAATTTAGAATGTAAAATCATGACAGATGTTTAAATATATGTCAGAGGCAAAATATAGGATTGTGTGTTTCATCTGAATTATTTCTGTTGGGGGCAGCTGCACCCAGTGCCTCAGCCCCACTGCAGAAGCACCAGGCTAGCTGACTAGTCTGTCGACTGTGGTCCTGACGTCTGAGCACAGGCCTGATCCACAGAGGCGCAGAAGTTTTAAGTGCCTGTCAAAGTACAGGAGAAACAAACAGTTGGTGGCTCAGGGGCATGTAACAAAACCCTGGGGGCAGGTAAAGATGTTTTCAACGCGAGTGATTCACTTGTTCTTGACGTCTAACTCCTGAGCGCCTGCGCCCCCGCCCCCTGATGGCTGAGCCAGCTGCGCTGCAGCACCCCGCTGGTGCCCCGACAGCAGGGCCCTGAGGCAGTTACAGGAGAGAGAGGCCATCACAGCCTCTCTCAGCCCTGCTCTAAACCAAAGTGCGCCCTTTCCATCCAGACTGGGCTCCAAGGCCTGTGATCTTAAGAGGAGAATGTTGCCGCCTGCCTGCCAACAAAGCTGCCGAGCTGGTGGGCATGCGGCTGCCTGGGACGTGGGCCAGAACACACCAGGCACTGTGGGCTGGGCACTGAGGGGCAAGGCGGCGGCTTCTCTTGGCCGGGCAGCCGTAAATAAAGTGAAGTCAGAATTGTGGCTGCGTGTGTGCATCCTGCTGTCAGGTGAGAAGGGCACTGCTCTGGCAGTACCTCAGCCCTGAGACGTGGGGTACTGGGGACCCCACCATGGGCAGTGCTCGGGCAGGAGGCGAGGGGTCAGGAGTCGCTGACACAGGCCTGCACGGCACCTGCTGGGCAGCAGGAAGGCCGAGGGCTTTCAATAGTCGCACACTTGAAAGACTCAGCCGCTTAGCGGTGGGAGGTAGCAGCTTCCTCAGGAGTCCTTCAGTGCGGAGGACGTGGGGCTCTCTCTGGAGTCTGCTCTGGCAGGCATCTCTGGGTCACTCTGGCTCCTGTCAGCTGCTGTGCTCCCCAGAGTAGCTTGTGAATAGTGGGGAGAGGACTGGGGAGTCTTTAGGGATTGCGTATGTGCAGTGAAGTATGTGTTAAAATCTGGATCCATCTTGAGTAAGTGTATTTAGTTATATTAAAGATAATCTATAATTTTATTTTTATCATAATCTTCAAAAGGGTTCATAACTAAAACTTATGTCAAGAAAACTAACTCAGGCATCTCTCAGAGAGATTACACTGCTTTATCAATTTACCCTGGAAGGAAGCAGAATAATGGAACCTGGGAAGTCTTTCAGTGGGATCTAGATGGTCTTGGCTGCCCATCTTGTAGCCCTCCACTGTTTCCGGTCCATTTAGAGCACCCCTCCTGGCGAGGCATGCTGCGTCCCACCCCAGTGATAAAGCAGGGATCGGCAGACCTTTTCCATAAAGGACCACTAGTAAATATTTTAGGCTCTGTGGCCACTTACTGTCTCTGTCACATATTCCTCCCCTGCTTTAAAAATGTAAAAACTTTTCTTAGCTATCAGACCTTAGAAAAGCAGGCTGTGTGGGTCTGGATCAAGGCACACGCACAGCTAAACTTTGTGGAGCTGTTCAGTTTGTGCTCACGCGGGGTCTCTCTCTCTGGACAGGGATGGAATCCCACCCTACAGGATCCGCAAGCAGCACCGCCGGGAGATGCAAGAGAGCGTCCAGGTCAACGGGCGGGTGCCTCTACCTCACATTCCTGTAAGTTCCGACTGGGTGGCCCTCACACTCCCCATCGCTGAGTCCGGGGCTCACCAGTTCTCTCGGACCTGTGCCCATCCCTTCTCCCTACTCTGACTGGGCTGCTGTGGCACTGGCCAATGGGAAAGGTGCTTGCCTGGCTTCTGGTGAGCTTGGCTGGTGTCCAGGCCTAGTGTGTGGTCAGCGCGGCGCAGGCAGCGCAGATGGCTTGTAGGCCCTGCCTGCGTCAAACCGGAAGAGCAGGAGTGCCCTTACGCAGCACGCACCGTGCCGTCTCTTCCCTCATGTTAAATGAGGTGCTTCTCCTCAAGATGGGCAAGCAGCTCGGAGCCTCCGTTGCCGGCTCTGTGCCCAGGCCAGACCCCTGCACGGGCCACCTGACTGCGGCTCTGTTGGAAGGCCTGTAGGCGCCCCTCAGTGCCCCCAATCTCAAGTTACTGTGACCACTGCTTGTTCAAGATGAAACGGGGCATCGGCCTCTCTGTGGCTGAACCGTGGGAGTCATCACGTGGGCAACCTGACTTCAAAGCTGCAACTCCTGGATAAAGATGAGATGATAGCGGTTCTCCTGACTGTGGCCACCGGGGGCTTCAGAGAGCCCGGAGCGGACGGGCACAGCCTATCTCCACCTGCAGAGATGAACGTGGGATCACTTTCCTTATTTGGACACGTCGGCTCTGAAGGGAAAACCTTTTAGAGGGAGATGAGAGCCTATGGGAGGGTCTTCGCCGAGGGCGGCAGCTCATTCATGGTTTCTGTGCAGGGAGAGTGGATACTTCTCAGTATGCACACACCCTCCCTAATCAGGATTCCGTGGTTAGTCCTTTAGCTTGTCTGCAGAATTTGAATTTGCAAATAAGAAGAGTGATTGTTTATGACTGAGAAGAAAGGATGTTGGTTTATTGATATTTCTAAGAAAAGGATGGTCAAGCGTTTTGTCATCTCCCAGCCAACCCTTGGCGCAGATTTGGCCTGAAGGAGGCACTGATGGCGTCTGCTTAGGAAAAAGAGGAAGACAGTGAAGGTGCATGTGTGTGTGCCTGTGTGTGCCTGCACGTGTGTGCATGCTGCAGGTGACCCCGGGGGAGCGCCCAGCCTGACTCATGTTACTATTTGGGCAGTCTGGGCCTGAGCCTGGGCGTCTTTGCCGCGCCGTGCGGGGCTGTGTGTGTCTTCTCCACCCTGCTCAGTGGACGTTTACACTCGGGATCAGGGCTGAGCAGGGGAGGCAGAAGAGGAGCCCGGGCATCCTGAATCCCAGAAAGTGAGAGAGTGAGGGGACACCAGAGCCGCTCGGAAGGGCTCCTGCTGGCCAAGGCCCAGACAGTGGGAGCATCCAAGTTAGTGGCAGTAATGTTGGAATCTGTGCGTCTACGGTGACATAACCAACGAATAGAGAGTTTGACGAGGAGCAAGATATTTACATCATCCCAAATAGCCCCTCGTAAAATACTAACACACAGTGGGAAAAAGCGACTTTAGGGGAGGACCTGCGGGCCCCCCTGAGTCCGTGGTCTGCCATCGTCAGTGATGGGACAGATGGATGCTGCCTCTGTGAGGACAGCGAGAAGCGCCTGGTGCCCCTTGGGGGCCTCCTGCCCGGAACGTCACCAGGACACGGCCCAAGTTGAGGGCCATCCTATACAAGAACTGGCCTCTAATTTTCAAAAGTCAGAGGGTCATGAAAGTCAAGGAAGACTGAGGAGGCCTGAGAGGTGGCCCAGCTGAGCGTACCTCGGGCCTCGAAGGGGAGACCTGGGTTGGCAGAGGAGGAGAAGGCAGTGTCTGGTCTGCCGGGCTTCGGAGTCTGGGGGTACTTGTGTCAGAAAGTCCTCATGTGTGGGAGACATCCCAACCAGTTCCGGGTGGTGGGGCATCAGGTAGGCAACATACTCTCAAAAGATTCAGAAAAAATTTCTTTGTATCGTTCTTGCAACTTTTCTGCAAATTTGAGATTTTTCCAAATTAAAAATGTTATAATTCAATAAATTAAACAGTATTAGACAAAACCTAGAGTGCAAACTGGTGAGCTGGAGTATAGACCTGGAAAGACTTCCCAGAATGCCTCACAGAGAGGAGGACGGAGACAGCTGGGGAGGGGCAAGAGTCAGAGGTGCCATTGGGAGAATGTTCCAGAATCGAAGAAAGCTAGGCGTCCCTAGGTTCTGGAAGATCTTGACTAACTCTCAGTGGGAACTTAGAGGTGAGAAAGGCAGTGGTGCAGTGGTGAGAACCTGGCCTGACTGCTTGGTGTGGACAGTCCGTGGCCTGGAAGGCTGCCTGCCGCAGTCTCTGGGCCGTTGCAGGGTGGCTAAGAGGGTTTGCATGCGCAGCACGCAGACTTGGGCCTGGCCTTTGGTAAGCACTGAGTGAAAGCAGGAGGTCCTGTGTGTTCCAGAGAGAAGCTGGTGGTCTCTGAGTCCTGATTGCTGTCCGGGGAGGTTTCATGAGCTGCTGCTTTTTGAGCTGTGTACGCATTCAAGGGAATGGACCGTGGCCCGAGTGGGCTGAGCACGGTGGGGCGGTGAGCATAGATGGGGAGCGAGAGGTGAGCAGCCTCTTCCACTGCCTGGCCTTTGTTTCTGGGGCCCAGCGTGAGGAGAAGCTCTCCATCACCCGCTTATCTGCAGTGTGGGGAGCTTTGCGGTATCCAAGGGGCCCTGGCCAGTCTGCTTGTCTGGTGGCTCAGCTGAGGGGCCTTGAGGTGCCTTCTTTTGGGGGAGGGGGTGCAGTTGGGCGGGACTCGGAGAGGGTGGGGCTGCAGGGAGCAGAGCTCTGCCTCAGTGGAGAGACGTGGTCCCTGGAGCAGCCCTACGGCGGGCACAGTGGTCATGCCTGGGAGGACTGGACCGCAGCCTTGAACTCAGCCCGGCCATGTGGTTGGGGCAGAAAGTGCAGCATTTGGTTCAGTGATGTTGGTTTGAAGTTCAAAGTGAAGAGACTTCACGCTTCATCAGTCACGTCTCATGTGGACACCTATCCAACAAATGAGGAGAAATGCTGCATCCCGTCTTCCTTAGAGGCTGTGGCGTCTTGTGAGTGACGGTCTCTTCTGTGTCTGGTGACACCGGCGCTGCCTCCAGAGCCTGTGCACATTCGCTTTGTTATCAGACCAGAGACGTGGTGGGTGGAGGCAGGCCCAGGGAGCTCGGGCACTCGGCAGACAGCGCCCAGTATGTGGGGTGCCGGCTGGACACGTGTGACCCGTGGCCTCATGCTTCACCCCATTGCCTGAGTTAGGGGTGCAGCTGAGGCTGCTGTTGGAGGGCTCTGTTCTGTTTAGGAGACACTGTTTCTGAGTGGGTCTGCTGCATCCGGGAGTCCTGCCGCGTGACTTATGGGGTGTTTCGGGGCCAGGTTGAGGGGACGTGTGTGGGTGATAGTGCTGTGGCACGGAGGTGCCAGCACTTGAGGGACACTGGTCACCTTCCAGTCATGAAGTCTGGTCCTCAGATCCTTAAGGCTGAGAGAGGGACCTCTTCTCTTTTCTTTTTTTTCCCTATTTTTTTTTTTAATTTTATGTATTTATTTTTAAATTTTTTTTGTGAGGAAGATTAGCCCTGCACTAACATCTGTTGCCAATCCTCCTTTTTTTGCTGAGTAAGACTGGTCCTGGGCTAACATCCGTGCCCATCTTGCTCTGCTCTATGTGGGACACCGCCACAGCATGGCTTGCCAAGCGGCGTGTAGGTCTGCGCTGGGTATCTGAACCTGCGAACTTAAGGGCTATGCCACTGGGCCGGCCCCTCTTTTTTGCCTTTTTAATTCCTCAGAAGTGTCACATTTTCATTTACTTGAATTTTTTCCTTTGTGTTTTTCTTTTTAATTCCTCCAAAGCTGGAAAGGTTGCGTTGCATAAATCTGATAAGGTTTTCCTGTTTTCAGAAGCGTAGCTATGCAGCCTGGAGGCTGTTTTCCAGAATGGCCTCGCTCAGCAGGTCTGCGCCCCTCCCCAGGGCTGAGCCGCTATGTCCTCTCGATGGTGTCGCCCGGTGTCTGTGTGGCTGTGTCTCGTTGAGGGCTTTGCATTCTGCTCTAGCTCTGCGCTCACCGTCTGGGCGTCCGGCTGTCAGCTCTGGGTCCCGTGTGGGTCACGGCGCTCAGCGCTGGCACAGAGGAGCTGGCACGCCCTGCCCGGGCCCTCCTGGCCTCCAGGCCTCTCTGGCTAGCAGGCTTGGCAGGGCAGGACCAGCCTCTGTCCTCTGTTGTTTGTCCGAACACCCCACTCGTGAAGACTCCTTCCAGGGTCTCGGCCTCCTGGCCGTCCCCACTGCCCAGTCCCCTGGGGCTCTGTGTCCATGCCCACTTTCCCTCTCAGGCTTCTCTCCTAGGATCTTTTAGAAGCACTGGACCCTGACTGCCCCTTCTTCTTGGGTCTGGCCTCCTTGGCTCCAGGACAAACCCCAGCCCAGTGTTGGGCACCACCCGGCCTTCTACACCAACTTTTTCCACCCCTGAAGCATTGGCCTGTGTCCTGGGCTTGCCCTCGGCCCCCTTTCCTCTCCAGGCCCCTCAGAGGTTTCTGCGGCCTCCTCTGAGCCTGTCGTGGTCAGCATCAGCCCCACAAGTGGACGTTTGTCTCTGAACCCTTCACATAATTTTTTGCCTAATCTTACATGTTTCTGAGGTATTAGGCACAATCTTTACTCCTGTTTTGTAGATGAGAAACGAGTAGGCAGAGTTGAGACTGTGCCCACAGCTCGCCATTGGGAGGGTAGTGGGGGCACTGGCTCTGCTCAGGCACCGCCCCTCCCCTCCTTGCCTTGCTTCACATCTGAAAGCCACTGTCTACCCACAGAGGTCAGAGAACTGGACCATGTGTGCCACCCTGTCCCCAGGCCACCTCCCTCTCCACCATCTGCCCTCCTGCCCCTCCTTGGCCCTCCCTCCCTTTGGTCCCCCCTCCATTCTCCTCCTCGCAGCAGCACCCACCCTCGCTCAGACCTTGGTGGCTGAGATTTTTAGAACGTGTTTTGCTGTACGTTATTGGGACAGCTGGTGAAATTGGAGGAAGAACTGCTAAAACAGTGTTGTATCAGCGTTCTTTTGTGTGTAATAATTGTCCTATGGTTAGGTACAAGAATGTCTTTGCTTTTTGGGGGCTGGCCCCATGGTGTAGTGGTTAAGTTCGGTGTGTCCTGCTTCAGCAGCCCAGGTTCGCGGGTTTGGATCCCCGTTGCGGACGTATACCACTTGTCAGCTACACCGTGGCAAAGACCCACATATAAAGTAGAGGAAAATGGGCATGGATGTTAGCTCAAGGCTAATCTTCCTCAAGCAAAAAACAAAACAACAACGAGGAGAATTGGCGACAGATGTTAGCTCAAGGCTACTCTTCCTCAGCAAAAAAGAAAAAAAAAAGAAAGTCCTTGCTTTTTGTTAATGCTTTCTAAGTTGTTTAGGAGTAAATGGGCATCATATCTCTACTGGCTAAGAGTGTGTGCGGGTCTGTGTGTGCACACACGTACCTACATGTCTGTGTGCATGTGCCTACGTGCGTGCACGCATGTGTGCACATGCCTGCGTCTGTGCGTGTGTATGTAAGTGTGCGTCCGTGCGTGTGCATGTGCATACATATGTGCATGTGTGCCTGCGTGTGTGCGTATAGGAGAAAATGACAGAATAAATGTGGCAAATGTCAGCAGTTGGGGAATCTGGGTGAAGGGTGAACACGAGTTCTTTGTGTTATTCTTGCAACTGTTTTGAATTTGAAATTATTTCAAAATAAAGCTACCCCTGCAAAAAAAAGTTATACAGTGTATTCCTATAAAATACATTGCAGAGTTATATTCTCTGAAAAGGAAAGTCCTCTGTAGTCCCACCTTTCTCCTGATGTTTTTCCTGTACGCTGTGTCCCCCATCCCTTGTACAGAGCCTGCAGCCTGGTCCGCACACACCTGTGCACCCCGGGGCTGCTGCCCTCTTGTGTGCAGGGCGGGCACCGCAGGGAGCAGGTCATCCTGCGCTGTGCTGCAGGCTGGTCTCTGCCCCGGGGCTCCGGGCTCGCTCTTCGGTGGCCTTTGCAGCTCTCCCTGCCCAGATTCCTCTGCTCCGGTCCCCAGGCCTCACTGGGTCTTTGCCTGGGCAGTTGCCTCTCCGGACAGGCTGGGAGGCCCTCAGTACAGGGCGTACCTGGGCTTGGGGCACCAGAGCCTCCCTCCCATGGGGCCTACCGGCTGCCACCCTGACCACCCCGCCCCAGGAGACTGAGGACCTGCCCTGCTCGGTGCCCCTGGTTCTGTGGTTGTGAGAGGCTGGCAAGAAACAGTGTCGGTGCTCTGTTCTCCTGGACTGTGCTGGATGAAGGAGGGGTTTAGTCTGATGAGGAAAGGGGGCAGTGAGGAGGCTGATTCCCAGGGAAAGGGAAAAAAGGACACCCTTACTTTACAGTGAATGCAGATTGCGTGTTACTTCCTCTTACCCAGAAAGGGCCTGAGTGCCACCTTGGCACAGAGGGTGGGAGTTCGAAGCTGCACGTGGCCGCTAATCAGCGGTGTCTCCTTGTAGCGCACTTACCGAATGCCAAAGGAGATCCGTGTGGAGCCACAGAAGTTCGCCGCGGAGCTCATCCACCGCCTGGAGGCCATCCAGCGAACGCGGGAGGCTGAGGAGAAGCTGGAGGAGCGGCTGAAGCGCGTCCGGATGGTGAGTGGGCCCCACGGCGGGAGGCCACGCCACATCCTGGTTTCTGCATTGTTTGATCAGAGCTGGGTTTGGGCTTGAGTTGGGGGCGGCGTTGGGCCCCAGGAGTCCCCTCCAGGGTTTCCCAGAGTAACCCCTCTCCCTGCTTGATCGCACTCTGACCCCATCTCGGTGGCTGGCCAGGGCCTGCTCTCCTGCGATGCATGCCCCCTCTGAAGCCCCAACTCCTGGTCCCCAGCCTGTGCCGTCTCCCGAGAAGAAGCCACCCCTGGCAGGGGCCTGAGCGGAGGCCTGGGGAGTGACCAGCAGGTGCTTGGCAGCAGCTCCCGGCCCTGTGCAGCCCTCGAGTGCCGGGGTTGGGGCTCCTGTTCCAGCTTCTTGTGGGAAGACAGCTGAGAGGGGAGCCGAGACGGTGCCCAGCTGTCGGCCCTCAGCCCTGCAGAGCACGGGTCAGACTGGGGACACGGGATGTGGGGCAGGAGCCCAGGGGCTGAGGCAGCTCTGAGCTACGCCCACAAGGGGGCACCATTCACCTTCCCTCTGCCCGTCTGTCTCTCACTCTCCGTCCATCTGTCTGTCTGTCTCTCCGATACCATTTTCCCCCTGAGCACCGACCGCAGTGCCCACGGCTGGCCACCTATCCCTGTGACGTTCAGGTTCTTCTGCAGTGGTGAGAACCCTTGTGGTCAACTTCTGGAGGTTTGTTTAGTGTACGGTAGCTCAGTCCCTTTCTTTTCAGTTATTACCAAGTTTACTCAACGTTATTCTGGTTTGGACGGTTCAATAAAATGGGAAAATAAATGCGAGATGTGTCTTTTTGAGTTAAAGTGATCAATGTTTAAGATATGGTTACATAAACTCTTAGAGAATCAAATGAAATTCAACTAGTTACTGTAAGAATTTATCAAGAAACATGTAGCAAGATAAATAAGCAAAAAACAAGAGCTCTTCTGTACAAGGGCAATATTTCTTTTGAAAATATAATGGGAAATAAGGCAATAAAATTGAGAAATAGGAAAACTCAATCAAAAAACCCAAAAACCTTTATTGAGAACTATAAAAGAAAACTCAGTGCAGAGGTTCCTCAGTGGTCCCAACGGCACTGGCGCCATTTCCCTGAGCCGCTGGTGCGAGGCACCCGGTGGTCACGTGCCCTTGCACACTCACTGGGGTCTCTGTGTTTGTCCCTCTGTGCCCCATCCTGCAGCGCCGCTGCCGAGAGCCCAGCCGCGCTCGCTCGGGGCCCGTCGGGGCAGAAGAGTCTCCAGGAGCCGCGCGGGCGGCACCTCTGCACCCCGCCTGGCCCTGCCTCACCCTGGGCTGGGCACTCCTGACCCCAGGACACAGCACGCCTGACTTCTGGCTTGTTTGTTTCCCCACGTGTGAGGTTTCCATGGGACGGCCAGTACCGGGTGGTGATGTGCAGCCTTGTCCCTACAGGAGGAAGAAGGTGAGGATGGCGATGTGTCCTCCGGCCCCCCAGGGGCCAGTCACAAGCTGCCTTCAGCCCCAGCCTGGCACCACTTCCCGCCCCGCTACGTGGACGTGGGCTGCGCAGGGCTGCGGGACACGCATGAGGAGAACCCTGAGAGCATCCTGGACGAGCATGTGCAGCGGGTCATGAGGACACCCGGCTGCCAGTCCCCGGGACCTGGCCACCACTCCCCTGACGGTGCACACGTGCCCAAGATGCCAGGAGTGCTGGGGGGCATAGCTCCCGGGCACGGTAAGCACGCGCTCAAGTCGGGGGCGAAGCTGGATGCAGCCGGCCTGCATCTCCACAGGCACAGCCACCACCACGGCCACCACGGCTTGGCCAGGCCCAAGGAGCAGGCCGAGGCCGAGGCTACCCGCCGGGTCCAGAGCAGCTTCGCATGGGGCTTGGAGCCACATGGCCACACGGCCAAACCCCGCAGCCACTCAGAAAGCGTGGGCACCGCCCCTGTCACCAGCGACAGCCTGGTCTACAGGTGAGTGTCCGCGGCAGCCCGAGCTGAGCTTTGAGACCAGGGCTGTGGTTCCTTCGTCCCTGTGCGTGTGTCAGTGAGGGGCGCCTGTGTCTTCCCAGGGAGGAAGGGGTCACGGCAGGAGGCCGTGTCTCCTGTGGATTCTCTTCTGGTTTTCTAGCCAGAGTTCCCCTTTAAAAGCCGTTAAGCAGGGTCAGCCACAGAGACTGCAGGCGCGTGAGGGCCAAGAGGTCAGGTGCCAGGTGTGGGCGCTTAGCCTCTGCCTGGGGTGCTGGGTTGGCCAGGGCTTCAGCCTGGAAACTTGGTTGGATAAAGATGTGTCAGAGGGAGGTGTCTGGTGAGGAGGAGTGGCCGGTCCTGGGTGCTGCCACTGGGTGGGTGGCCTGGGCTGGGCGGGCAGAGGACAAGTACTACAGCCCGACCTGGAGCCCCAGCCCTCTCAGCGGTGCTGCCTGGACGCCTCCTTCCCCTCCTGCCGCAGAGTCGGCCCAAAACAACCCCAGACCACCACACAGAGCTGGGCAGAGGCCAGTGGGACATGCCACTTTGTCAGGGCCACCATGTTCAGAGAGCAGAGGCCCTTCTCCTCCAGCCACTCGGGGTGTAGAGCACAAGCGGCCAGCTCTCCAGTGACGGGCCAGGTAAAGTCAGCAGGTGATGCCCAGATCTTTCTCTTATAGCGGGAAGGTAGGCATCACCTCCAAAAGAAATGCCAAGAAGGCTGAGTCAGGGAAAGGTGTCGGCGCTGAGGTGCCAGGCTCCTCGGAGGATGCGGAGAAGAACCAGAAGATCATGCAGTGGATCATCGAGGGGGAGAAGGAGATCAGCAGGCACAGGAAGGCCGGCCACGGGTGAGTCCTGGGGGTGTGGGCACAGGTGTGCGCAGATGACCCAGCGAGCCTCCAGAGCTGCTTCACCAGTGTCTGCTCAGCTGTCACAGCCCCACCCACTGTCTTACTGCAAAGCCCCTGCAGTGGAAGCAAGAATTCCACGGAATCAGCTCCAACCATTGCAGCATCTGCTCGTTGATGCCTGCCCCGTGTGGGCTTGTGGTGGGAGTGGGATCCTTGTCGCAACTTCAGTGTCCTGGGCAGGAGCGCCCACTGGTGAAGTACATCTAAAGTCACCACATCTCTGTCTGTGAGCTCCTCTAGTTCTGGCCCCACCTGCCGAGGAGGGGTCTGCTGTCACACAGCTGCTCTCACGAGGTTATTTCTGGGGTGGTGACGCCTCCACGTGACAATGACCTAAGTCACTGGGGAAGTTAGACTGGCACCTGACTGTTCCTGCAGATGGAGCCCGCAGAAGTCTTTTCGCACCTGGTTGTCCCCCCGCCGTTGGGGTGGGGGGCAGATTCTCATTTAGTCTGTGTCCCTCTGACCTCTGTATCAACCCCACAGGGTCAGAGGCTGCTCTGGGGGGCTGCAGAGCCAGGCCCCAGAAATGCCCTCGCTGCCCCACATGGGTCGGTCCATCTGGGGCTGGCTCAGATGGGGCCGGGCTAGAGGCGGGTCACACCTGGAGCGGGCGGCCACGGGGCCTGGAGCTGCTGGGATCTGCCCATTGGTGTATGGGCCTCCCCTCCTTCCCTGGTCGCAGACTTCCCTGAGCTTCAGCCTTCCCTGGCAATAGTGGGGGAGGGCTGAGTGTGCATGTGTGAAGGAGGTGAACACCTGCCTAGCCTGTTGCTGGGCAGCAACTCGGGGTCCCCGTGTCCTGTCTCTGCGTGATCTTAGAAACGAGCCCCCCACCAATGTCCAGACCATTTGCAGTCACAAAGCTTGTCCCGCTCTGTTGGGATGGGGATGGATTCTTGGCTTCTCTGGAGTTCCCTCTTGTGGGTTTCCATGGAATGACTCTGTCCTGGCCACCCCCCGACCCCAGATGGAGGGCTAGGTGGTTGACAGGTAAGAGCCACATCTACAAACAGCCTCCTGGGCCTGGGAGGCTCCTGCTATCAGGATGAACTGTTTTAAATGACGGTGCCTCAGTGTCCCCACCAGGCCCTCCCTGGAGCCCTGGGGCTGTGGGCCTCTGCCCTTGTTCATCTCCAAGGCGGGCGTGCAGGGCCGGGAGTAAGGGGTGGGGGCAGGAGATGGGGCCGGTTGAGGTTTCCCTGTGGAACCCACCTCCCCCCAGGGTCCCTTCTCTTGGGCACTTCTGGCGTCACAAGGGCACTGGGCCAGCCCACTCCCCAGGCGGCCTCTTCTTGGGGTTCCCTCTTGTTGGGGTTCCCTTGTCTGCTTCAGAGGCCTCCAGCCGCAGCACAGAGGTGGACGTTTGCACCCAGCCTCACCCGGTGGTTGTGGTACATGTGCCCAGGTGTGAACACGTGCTCGGTGTCCAGTGACAGAGGGAAGGGCATGTTATCACCGTGAGGGAGAACCAGGGAAAATTATGTGTGTAGAATTATGCCAGTTATGGGAAATGTTTCTGTTGGGGAAGGAGATATACCAATATACTGAGAGTGGCTCTCTTTAAATTATGAAATTATGGATTATTTATATTTTTTTCTTTAAATTTCCTATATATTTCAGGTTTTTCACAAATAGCATTTATTTTGACATTAAAATATTTTTTAAAAAACACTGAAAACTTTTCTATAAGAGAAGTCATTATAGGGGCCAGCCCGGTGGCGTAGTGGTTAGGTTTGCGTGCTCCGCTTCAGCGGCCCAGGGTTCGCAGGATTGGATCCTGGGCACGGACCTACGCGCTGCTTATCAAGCCATGCTGTGGCGGCGTCCCGTATAAAGTAGAGGAAGATGGGCGCGGATGTTAACCCAGGGCCAGTCTTCCTCAGCAAAAAGAGGTGGGTTGGTGACAGATGTTAGCACAGGACTAATCTTTCTCACACAAAAAAAGGTCATTAGGATATGATTTATACTTTTTTTTTTTAAAGATTTTATTTATTTAATTATTTCCCCCCCCAAAGCCCCAGTAGGTAGTTGTATGTCATAGCTGTGCATCCTTCCAGTTGCTGTATGTGGGACGTGGCCTCAGCATGGCTGGAGAAGCGGTGCGTTGGTGCACGCCCGGGATCCGAACCTGGGCCGCCAGCAGCAGAGCGTGCGCACTTAACCGCTAAGCCACGGGGCTGGCCCTGATTTATACTTTAATAAAGCTGTTAAAAATAAGTTACAAAAAAAGAAGTGTGCAAGAAAGGGACGTTTGTATATGTGGTACAGGAGGAAATTGCAGAAGTTCACGTGCCCTCTGGTGGCCAGGGGCACAAGGGCACTCCTGCCCGGCTTCCGGGAGTCAGGGCCTCACCTGCCTCTGCTGGCTCTGCCCCCGCTCCTGGCGCCCCCTGCGGCCCAGGATTTCAGATGTTGCCACGCCTGGTTCTCTTGCTCCCAAAGGTCTTCTGGGGCGAAGAAGCAGCAGGCCCATGAGAGCTCCAGGCCCCTGTCCATTGAGCGTCCGGGGGCCGTGCACCCCTGGGTTAGTGCTCAGCTCCGGAACTCTGTCCAGCCCTCTCATCTCTTCATTCAAGACCCCACAATGCCACCCAACCCAGCCCCCAACCCTTTGACCCAGCTGGAGGAGGCCCGCAGGCGTCTGGAGGAGGAGGAGAAGAGAGCCAGCAAGTTACCCTCGAAGCAAAGGTATGGTGGCAGGGACGGGGGTGGCGCCATCAGGGTGAAGCTCCCCGAGGCCTGGAGTCCCCACCTAGAGCCACGCCGGGTCCCCACCGGCAGTACTGGGTTTTTCCTTCCGCTGAGAGCCACAGACCGTTCGGCAGGTGGTCACGACACTGTCCTTCCGGGGAAGGAGAGGGAAGCCTTCCTCTCTTCGTGCCTGCTGTGCTCTATGAGCGTGCACTCGCCCCGGGTCTTCCCCCACCGTGGCGTGGAACAGCTCGAGGTCACACAGCCAGGTCACCACTGGCTGCTGTGCAGGCTGAGCTTAGAGGGGGCTGTCCTGGCCGTCTCCATTCACAGCCATACCCAGGGGAACCCCGAACAGTGCCGTTGGCAGGTCGGTGAAAGTGCTGAGATACAGACAGGTGTAAAACTCTTCTGGCGAGATGCGGCCACAGTCTCTCCTCATTGCGCCCTCCTGGGCCTTCTGGGCCAGGACGCCAACCCGCTGCCGATGCGGCCTCAGGCCAGGCCCCGTTCTCTCCCCCAGGGAGCAGGGAGACCTGCCCTTTGTGAGTGGCAGGTCTTCTCTCCAGGCCGGAATGTGGCTGCCCCGAACCTTCCAGGGCTTGAGGTCAATTTTCCTGGATGTACTGGCTCATTGGAATTCCCAGGCAGATCAGGGTCTCTGAGGGGCCTGGAAATCTGTATTTCTCACCCAGAGCTGGGGAGCGTGGTTACACAATGGCCACGGTTTTCCTCGGATGTTCCTGGCTCCCCTTCCCAGGGGCCTCACCTTGTGTGGGGCAGCCCTGCTCTGGGGAATCCGATGTGAGGGTGCAGACCCTCCCTGGTGTCCGTCTCGTCAGGCACAGCCGGAAGCCAGAATGTGTCCCCTGGGTCGTTGAAGCAACCACGTTTACAGCCAGCTGTCTCACAGCCCACGGCCTCGTTCAGTCAGCGTAGAGCTGGAGAGGCGGCTCTGTGCCGTAGACCCACCCGGTGCTGGCACCCACCGCTCCAGAGGCACGCAGGGTGCGGGGGCCACTGCCTGCAGCAGGAACGCCTCCTGCTGTGCAGACCACCTGCAGGGGCTTCCTGGGACCCTGCTCCGGCCGAGCTCTGGGGCAAGGCTCGAGTCTGCTCTTCTTGCGCACACCCGGCAGGCCCTGCAGGGCAGCATCTTCTCTCTGGCTGGTGGTGCCGAGCAGAGCCACACGAGCCTCTCTGATGCTTGTTGGGGTGTGAGCCTCCAGCTGGGGTTTCGGCCAGTGGCTCTGGCATCTCCATGTGTTGTCGATCCATGGCACGTGGGCCTTTTGTGAACGGCTGCAGACATAGGGCAGAGGTCTGCATGCAGCAGTGGGGGTGCTGAGCCCTCCCTGAGCTCCTCGTGGGTGACCCCACCCAGGCTAGTCAGAGTAGAAGTCATCATCAGGGCCACACAGCATCGCGCCCGAGGGTGGACAGCCTCTTGGAGAGCAGGTGCTGGGCAGCGAGCCCCAGGACAGGCCTCCCCAGCTGCTTCGGACAGAGCCGTGACCGCACTCCAGAACCTGAGTCTCCGTCGGAGCCCTGAGTAGGAAGAGCCACACACAGGGAGGAGGCGAGGGCAGAGCCTCTTCTGAAGGCTGTTCTCAGTGCGGGTGAAGTGACAAGATCCTAGCGCCTCCAGTCACTGGTTCCCCAAAGTGTGTTCCAGGGAACCGAGGGCTCTGTGACCAGATGAGGACTCTGGGAACTCGGGATCGACTAAAGCAACAGCCATTTCTCAACGGATCCTGACGGAGCCCTTGATGTTCCAGTCCGGTGCTCCGCAATCCACGAAGGGCTTGGTGTCCTGTCCGTCTCACACGGGGGGAGCCTGATTTGTGGTGACAGACCCTCTTGGGGATCCCCTGCTCCGTCTGCCTGTCTGTCACCCGTTGTCACCATGGAGCGTTGGTGGACGCCCTCCTGAGGCCTGTGCGGCTCACTGGCGCGGTTGTTCCCTAGGTATGTGCAGGAGGTCATCCAGCGGGGGCGCTCCTGCATCAGGCCAGCGTGCACGCCCGTGCTGAGCGTGGTGCCAGCGGTGTCCGACCTGGAGCTCTCCGAGACAGAGTACGTGCGCCCCCCGCGGGTCTTCCCGGCACGCCCACCCAGCCCCCATTGTGGGCCAGCTCCCGTGGTGGAGCCGCTCTTCCCGGGACGGGAGCTCGGGCACCACGCTTGAAGAGACGGGGCTGGACTCAAGCTGCCTACAAGCCTTTTCTTCCTGTCTCTGTCAGAGGAGACGCTGGCCCTCCACATGGTGACGAATGAGCCGCAGGCCAGCGAGGAGGTCCGCTCCGCCTCCCCTGCTCTGGCCACGCGCCCCCCGCCTGCCCTTACTTTCCGAGCTTCCCAGCCCGGCCTCGGGACTTGCTGGGCTGAGACAGTCCGGCTTGACAGGGGCGGGACTGCAGCCACGATCCCCCTGGTGTGCTGCCCACAGAAGGCATCAGCTCTGGTGGTGCGTGTGCGCCAATGCTTCGTGTGCAGTGACACGCAGGGATTAGGGCTCTGCGTGTCTGCTCCCTGGGCTCACATGGAGCAGGGTGGGTGTTGGGGACCTGCCAGCCTTATGTAGACAGTGCCCGTCGCCCCGCCGTGCTTACCCCAAATGATGCTTCAGCACGCCTGGCCGGGTGCACCCACTTGGCTCCGGAGTGGTCACACAGGGACGAGGGACGCTAGAAGACAGGGTGCTGCCTGTCATTCCAGATGCAAAGTGGCTGCCCAGCGCCCATCAGGATCAGGGTCCCACCCCAGCTGGGCAGGAGACAGTACTGGCCTCACGCCCTCTCTGAAAGTCTGGCCAGCCACTGCCTCTGGTCTTGGACAAGCTCTCTGCTGTGGAACAGGTCCATTTCAAGATCCGTCACAGTTCTCTTTATCAATACTTGGCCATCAGATGGTTCTGAAGCTTTAGGGTATTAGGCCTTACTAGCATACACGCGCTGTAGCCCCGACGAAAGGCAGGCTGTGTTGGTCCAGTGGCCTGGCTGTCACAAGAAACCCAGCAGAGGGACCCACCATGTGTTCAGACCTGAGAAGCCTGCTTGCCCACTTGTGTGTAGTCAGGGTAGAGGGGCCACTCACCAGCCAGCTCAGGCCACATGAGACCTGGGGCTTTGCCACGGGTGGAGGAGGGTGGAGGCGAGCCGAGGCACTGGCCAGACGTGGGCAGCTGGCGGGTGGGAGATGCGCTGTGTGTTTTGGAGCAGGAGAGGTTGGTGTGGCACTGGAGCCCTGGGTTGACACCACGCGGGGCAAGGCCCCCAGAGGGCTGGATGCTGCATAGGGGTGGGGTGGGCAGTGGGCCTGTGCTCACGTGGTATTTCTGAACATGACACAGCTCACCCCTGCGGCCCTGTCCCATCATTTACTGGGGGGCCCGAGGCCCGTTGGGGGTGCCCTGTGGGACCCTGAGACCAGCAATCATCGCTGTGTCTCTGCCCCCAGGACGAAATCGCAGAGGAAGGCGGGTGGTGGGAGCACCCAGCCATGTGACAGCATCGTCGTGGCCTACTACTTCTGCGGGGAGCCCATCCCCTACCGGACCCTGGTGAGGGGTCGTGCGGTCACCCTGGGCCAGTTCAAGGAGCTGCTGACCAAGAAAGGGAACTACAGGTGAGAGCCAAGGGGCTGGAGCCGGGGCTGGCCCGTTGTTTGGGTCTTCGGTGAGCAGGTGCCCTGCCCAGGAGAGGGTGTCGTGTGCTAGGTGTCCTGTTCTGCCCTGTTTTTATCTCATTTAGTCCTTGTCTCCACCTTAACCCGCCTGTCCCACCCTGGGCTGTTGACGTGAGCCCCTCATGGGTGAAGCGTGGGCGGCCCCAGGCTGCGGGCCCACTCCTGGCCCCAGGTGACTGAGGCCTCCAGGCTGATTGAGGGGTCTGGAGGGACCTGGTTCAGGGCCCTCACCTTAAAGGTGGGGAAACAGAGGCCTGAGCATAGTGCCCTGACAGTCCCCACGCTGGCCTGACCTTGGTTGGCCCTGTCTTCCGTCTCCTAATTCAGCCCCTTTTCACTGGTCTGTGGAAGCTGTGCCTCCCCCCGTCCTCTGCACTGGGCTGCTCGGCCCTGCCCCTGCCAGCCTCAGACCAGCCCCTAGAGGCTCCTGAGTGAGCACTGTAGGAGGAGCAGGGGCAGACGGCCCGTGGTGGGCTCGGGTGGGTGATGTCCTCTGTCCACCAAGTGGCCGAGAAAGCACCCCTTGGAAGCGCCCACTGGAGGAGGGCCAAGGAGGAGGGCCAAGTCTCCACTGTCTTCTACTTCGGCCTGAGTTGGGGGCCTGTTACCCCGATGGAGACGACAGGCTGAGCCCTTGGGGAACAGAAACCCTGTGCCCACCTGCTTCTCCCCCACAGCACACTAGAATCCACTGCAGGGGACCCCACATATGGTCACTATTGACCCTCCAACAGATGGGCACCAGGCAGAACCAGCTGGCGTGCCCTGCAAAAAGTGCCCGGAGCACAGCTGCCAAGCTCCAGTGCACACGTGGGACGATGGGGTCGGGGGGCACCTAGGTGTGGGGGCCAGGGGTGTGGGGGCATGGGCAGACCCTCATCCCCCCTTACGCCTCCCTCACCCCCGACCCAGATACTACTTCAAGAAAGTGAGTGACGAGTTTGACTGTGGAGTGGTGTTCGAGGAGGTTCGGGAGGATGAGGCCGTCCTGCCCGTCTTCGAGGAGAAGATCATTGGCAAGGTGGAGAAGGTGGACTGACCGCAGGCCTGGCCTCTGCGCCTGGCCGGGCCCTCGTCAGGCAGGACGGGGCAACCACACTGAGAGCCACCAAGGGTTGTGCATGTCGCGTGCTCTCACGTGTGGCAGACACACAGCTGCTGGGGGAAGGCCAGGCGCTGCCTGCCTCATCGCCGCCACCCCCCGGTCCATCTGTCCACGTGGTGGGGGTCCCTCTGAGTGGGCCCAGGGGCTTCTGTCCCGCTGCCGATGAGGGGACCCCGTCCCCCGTCCAATACTCCAATACTTGGAGAGTCTGCCTGAGCAGGGAGCCCACCTCGGGCCGCCGAGATGACCCTCCCCAGCGGCCCCTGCTGCTAGCTAGCCCACGGGCGCCTCGCCGGGCGCTCACACCACAGGCTCTGCTTCTCCCTCTGGGACTTAAGCCGCCATACCATGCCCTGGTCGGGCCCAGCCTGGGTCTGGGGCACAGGGGCCCTGCGAGGGCCTCTGTAAACTGTACACGTCACCGAGTGCCTTCAGCGCAGCTTGTCTCTTGCCCGCCACTGTGTGGATCTGGCGACAGAGCACCCCAGTGCCCTCCCTCCTGCGCCCACAGGTTCCAGAGGGCCAGCTGCGCAGGGCCCGGCCCCTCCCTCCTAAGGGCCCGTGTAAATATGTACATTTCTCAGGCCAGGGCCAGCAGGGGGCTGCCCCGAGACCCGTTTTTCACGCGCTGACTTGTACAATTATGTTTTCAAAGGTACTTGGATAATAATGAAATAAAACCATTTTTGAACCTTCCCTGGCTGTGGAGTGCACCTGGCTTCGGTGGGGCCCTGGCTGGCAGGCATGTCTTCCTTGGCCAGCTCCTGGCACGTGTGGCCCGTCCCCTCTAGCCTGGCCTGGCTGTGTGCAGCACGTGTCAGGCCCCGGCAGCAAAGGAGGTCACACCAGCGTCCGAGGGTCACGGAGTGGGGGTGTCTTGTGGAGCCACGCTGGCAGGGCTCTGGAGAGGGTGGGGCTGAAGCCGGCAGCAATGCCAGGCCCCCTTCCTGTCCAGGTGGGGCCCCAGGCTCAGACCCGAGCCAGGATCCACCCAGGAGAGCTAGGGGCATGGGCTGGGTCCCATCCAAGATGGAACAGGCCCCAGGAGGCTGAGATTTCGCCAAAGCCAAGGGCCAGTGCCCAGCCGTGCTCAGGAACCACACAGACAGTCCAGGAGCAAAGGCGTTTATTCACGGCCCACAGCTTCCTTGGGTGCCGGAGGACACCGCTCCCCCTCACGGACGTGGGGCGGCTACAGCTCCTCTTTGGGCCCTGGGGTGGAATTGGCTGGCGTCTCCTGGAAAGGGTCACCGAGGCCCAGCTGGAAGCTGCGCCCTCTGCCCACTCCTGCCCATCAGCCCCAAAGCCCCCCGTCCAGAGGACTTGTCCATAGTCTTAGAAGCTTGGGACAGAGGCACCCACCGGGAAGGGAGCTGTGGGCTCCTCTGTGGGCTTCTCTGCAGGCAGCTGGCCCCCACTGTCCAGGAACTTGGAGAAGGTCTCCAGGTCTCTGCTGCCTTTGTAGTCAATCACCTGAGGAGGGGCAGCAGGATCTGGAGGACACACCCTCCCTGCTGCACCCCTCCTGCACCAGGCCACACCCATCCCAGGCCCCGCCCTCCAAGGCCACACGCTATCTCCTGGACACACAACACAGCCCGAGGAACGCCCAAACTGAGCCTCAGACCAAAGAAGACGGGGGTCCCGCCTCACCTTCCCACCCGGCCCTGCCGGAAAGTACTTGAGGGTGGGGAAGCTGTGCACAGCAAAGGCCTCCAGCTCATTGGCCGTGGCGTCCAGCTCAGCGATGATGATGTCCTCGTGGTCCTTGTACTTCTCCGCCAGTGCCTCCCAGGCAGGGGCCATCTTCTTGCAGTGGGCGCACCACGGGGCATCTAGGACCGGGAGCGTCAGCACGGCCAGCGGGGGCCCCCACCAGCCACCTGCCCACCCACCCACTGCCCTCTGCACTCACAGAACTTGATAAACACGTTCTTGGTTTCGTCAAAAGCCACCTGCTCAAAATTCTTGCCCACAAGGGTCTTGACTGGCCGCTGGTCCCAGTCGGGGGGGACCTCCTGGCTCACGAGATAGGGCTGTGGGGAACCGGGCCAGGGGCTTCATTGGGTATCTCTCCCGAGAGCTGCTGCTCCCACCCCGTCCCCTGGGTGGGCAGCCCGGCAGCGGACCTCGACCTGGTTGCTGAGGACTGCATGGCAGAAGGCGGCCACAGAGGCTGCAGTGACCAAGCCCCCGTCCTCAGGCGCGTACTTCTCGGTGGTCTCCATGTTGATGAATCGCAAGGTGGGTGCCTCCTCAGCCTTGAGACCAAAGTACTGCAGCACGTGGTTGTTGCCGGCGCCCACGTCCACCACCACAAACAGCACCTGCCAGCAGGAATCCGCGCTGGGCACCCCGCCTCCCTGCTGTCCCGCCCCCCTGGCCCACCAGTACCTGCCCCCGGAATGGGGGAGCCGCCTCCCCAAAGCCCGCCAGCAGCTCCTGGTGTGGGGCCAGTGTCTGGTTGACGAACAGCAGCAGATGGTTGAGAATCTTGGCCGCAAAGATCTTAGGGGACGTCTGCAAGGGCAGGCCACACTCATGGGGCTGGCTCGGGAGGCACCCCCCACTCCCTGTCCGCACACCTGCACTCGCACGTGCAGCCCGACTCACCTGGCTGTTGAACTCTGTGACCAGGTGCATGCTGTGCGTGAGGAGGAAGCGTGACAGATCCCCCTGGTCCAGGCCCAGCTCCTCGTCCACTGGGAAGTCCGCCCGCCCCTCGTCAAACTGGACAACACCGGGGGGGTCAGCAGGAGCCACAGCTCTGACCCTGACCCCTGCCTCAGCCCTGAACCACCTTCTTGAAGAGGACCACGGTGTCCTTGGTGAGGCCAAACTTCTGAAAGAGCTTCGGCTGGTCAGTGAGGCCAAAGGTCATGTCCAGGGCCTCCTGGGCCAGGGTCAGGAACGTAGCCACATCCTCATCCTGCAGGTTCTAAGGAGCCCAAGCCTATGAGGCCAGCTGGCGCCACAGGCCCTGCTCCCGTGGCCTGGCCCCCCGTGCCACCAGCTCACCTGGAAGAAGCCAATGACCACTACGTCCCGGGCCTCTATCAGTGCTTGGGCGCCCTCCTCATCCTCCAGCCGTGTGGCGCTGGGCCCCACCCGCCGCCTCAGCCATTCAGCAATGCCTTCGGCCTCCCGGGGGCCTGTGGAGAGTCCCCTCAGCCTGGGCCCAGCCCCGGCCCCCACCCCCACGCCCACTCCCCTCACCGGTGTACTCCTCCGGGTGCATGCGGTTCCCGTCACGGAAGAACTTGAGCGTGGGGTACTCTGTCACCGCAAACTCCTCCAACAGCTCCGGCGCCGAAGACCCGTCCACCTTGGCCAGCCTGGCCCTGGCTGACTCTGCCGCCAGCAGGGCAGCCGCCTTGCTGTATTCGGGGGCCAGCGCCCTGCAGGGCCCACACCATGGGGCGTCTGGGGGACAGGGCCATGAGAGCGCCCCGCCTCCACGGCCCCAGCCCCAGCTCCTGCTCCCTCCTGGCCAGAGCTGGCAGACCTTGGGGTCAGTCAGGCCCGGAGGGAGCAAGCACGACCTGTCCACACACTGCCCTCCTCTGGGGGCCCACCCAAGCCACAGCCATACCGAGCCCATACAGCAGAGACCAGCCCTTCCAGACCCCAGCGTGGCGCGGTGGCCACCACCTCCGACAGGGTTGGAGGAAGATCCTCACATTGCTGCTCTCTGAGGCTGGGCTCCCCGGCCATACACGGCTGACTGAGGGGCCTGCCAGCCAGCAGTGGCTTTCCCACGTGTAAAGCGTTGTAAAAAACCACAGAACATGCAAGGCTGAGTGCTCTCCGGCCCTCTACAGAACGAGTTTGCAAAAGACAATGACCCTGGTCTCCTCGGCACCTGTGCCCCCCCCCACCTGCTCAGGACCCCCCAGGTCCAGCTCAGTCTCAGGGCTCTGCCTCGGGTGCCCTCCGATGAGCCCCAGGAGCACAGTGGGGGCTGAGTGCCCTCAGAGAAAGCCCCCGCATCCACGGAGTGAGGAGTTGAACCCCCTGGGTGGGCCATACGGGTCCCCTGGCCCCGCTGGCCCTGTGCACTCACAGAACTCCACCAGCAAGGTGGGGTGCTCCTGCAGGGCCAGGCCCAGGGTGCGCTGGCTCAGCACCAAGATCCCGTCCTCCTCGGGCACCTCCTCGGGTACCTCCTCCTTAGGGGGCTCCTCCAAGGAACCCCCAGGCCCTGTCCCCTGTCCCCGTGGGCCCCAGGCCCTGAGCAGCAACAGCAGCAGCACAGGTAGCAGCTGGCCATCCATGGCAGTGCCGGGCCCGCGGGGCTGGGGCAGATAAGGGGGCCGGGGGCCAAGCTGCAGCCGCCACGTGGCACCCAGGCCCCGTCGCAGGGAAGATAAGGCCACAAGGCTCCCCCCACCCCCGGGGGAGGGGAGGCAGACAGAGGCGACACCAAGGGCATGGAGACAGGGTGACGTTTAATAGGGCTGTTCAGGGCACAGTGCCAGGCCCGGGGAGGGGGTGTCCTGGGACAGGGCAGAGGGCGTGGGGGGATCTGGTCACCGATCGAGGGGGCTGGGGAGTGCTCAGGGGTCCCTGTGCAGTGACTGACAGGCGGGGGAGACAAGAACCCCAAGTGGAAAGACAGCCACCCCGGCAGTGGGCGGCGCTCAGCTCTCCCAGTCTCGGCAGATGTGGAGGCCCCACTGCCAGGACAGGTGGTCCGTCCTGTCGTCATCGGTGAAGAAGGACGTGACCACGTAGGCACCCCGCACCAGTGCGCCCCGCGGCGCCTCCTCCACTGGAGTTACGAACTCGTACTCCTGGGCACTCGGGCCGTAGCTGCCCACCATGTACACGGCCTTGTCCACTGAGGGAGGGCGGGGGCGTCAGGGGCCGCTCTCTGCCCACCTGCCCCACCCTGCAGACCCTCGGCCGCCCCGTCACGCCGCCCTCACCACGCAGGCCCTGGCGGTAGGTATGATGCAGACATCTGAGGCCGCTGACGATCTCCTTATTGACCTGAGGGACAGAGGGTGTCAGGGTCCCTCTGGGGGCTGGGCCTGAGGCTGGCTGGCGCCCCCATGACAGCTGCTCTCACCTTGAAGGTGATCTTCACTTTGTACTCAACACCCTCCTTCAGGACGAACACCTGGTCTTTCAGCGCAGCCAGCTCCCCTGTCAGGGCAAGTACAGCCAGGGGGTGAACTCCCGCCACAGGGGAGACCCTGCCTCTGGAGCTCAGGGGGGCCGCACCTCTGAGGTCTACGTGATTGGTCTGAGGGCTTGAGATGGGGCATGGGTGGGTCTTAAGACATCCACGTGATCAGGTCTCTACCCCGAAGATCAGTCTGTAGTTTGCAGAGGGGAGTCACCCGTGAGGTCCCTACCCAGGGCTCAGGTTGTACCCGGTGTCCTGGGAGTTACCTGTGAGGTCCATGGTGATGGGCCCCGGCGCCTGCTCAGACATCAGTGTCAGCCTGGTCACCTGCACGTTGGGCAGGCTTGGGTCTGAGGAGAAAGCGGCAGTCTACAGGATGCCCCCGCCCCCGCCCCTCCCCTCCCAGCCCAGGGTGGGAGCATACCCACAACGGGAGGCAGGGGCCCCAGCAGCGCCTGCTTGTACTTGGCCAGGCTCTCATCATCCGGGTCCAGCTGCTGGATCTCCAGGAGGCTCTTCCTCCCCGGGGCCCGGTACTCCGGCACAGCCTCATCCAGTGCCTCGTCTGGCGGCAGCTGCCCCACCTCCTTGTCAGTCAGGAGGACTGGGGGTCGGGGAGGTGCGTGAGCAGCTGTGCCAGCTGACCCTGGCACTCACTGGTCAAACTGGAGCCCCTCATCTGGCCAGCTCTACCTCTCACTGCCCAAAGGAACTTAAGAGGAAGCCGGTGGGGGCTCAGGGAGAGGGTGGGCCGGGGAGACGCGGAGCAGCACCCACACCCAAACCCCTCAGGAGGAGCCCTGGCGGCTGGAGAAGGCTCCCAAAAGATAGAGCCAAGCGACAGCCGCGGAGGCACCAGCTGCCTTCTCCTGGCCCAGCCATCCACCAGGGCCCCTCCCTGACTCTGAGGCCAAAGGTGGGGGAAGGAAGACCCCACATGGGGGACAGCCCCAAGGTTTGGGGGCACCACTGCAGATAGTGACCTCCCAGGTCTCCCCTAGAGTAGAGGCTCTGCCCTCACAGGCCTCTAGGGTCTCCCATCGCTCCTGGCCACTTCCCATATTCCCACAATGCTCTTGGGGCCTCTGGGTCTCCACATCCTGCTTTGGGACTGGGGTCTCTGCACACCTTCCCACAGTCCTAGGGGTTCCTCCCCATAGTGCTCCTGGGGGGGTTGTCTCTAAACCCCTCAGCTTGTGCTCCCGAGCCCCCTCCTCGCTGCCTCCAGACTCAGTCTCCCAAGGCCCCTTCCCAGGGTGCTTTGTGGCAGGGGTCTCTCTGAGTCCTTCCCACCGTCCTGGGAGCCCCTTCCCAGGGTGCTTTGGGCTAGGGATCTCGCTAGGCCCCTTCCCATAGTGTCGTGGGACAGGGTCTTTCCCAGTCCCTGCCCGCTGCGGCCCAGTCTTCTCAGGGGTCACCACACGCCCTGAAGGGGCCCCACCCAAGGAACGGGATCTCAGGGCAGGTTCCCAAGGGAGGGTCCCCCTGCCGCCCCTGCCTCACGAACAGGCCCGCCCACTCTTGGCTCTTTTCCCGTGAGTGTGGAGCCTGGACGAAGCCCCCCACCAGAGCCCAGCCGGGGACCGCCCACGAGGTCCCCACAAGCGCCCCCAAAGTTTCCGCGGG